TGTATCTGGTGTTTGTCACAACGCGCTATTATCCAAGTCATCTTGAAAAAACATTCTTCTTCCAAATGTTGGCTACATATTACATGTTTTTTTCTCTGGGCAGAAGTTTTATGGCAAATCCTCCCTCTTCAAGTTGGCAATCCAGCGACAAACCCGTCCGTGGAGAATCAGGAGTTGGAAAGATGAATTAACTAATTTTTTTTTTTTTTTCATTTTTATCCGATGTATTCCAGCATCCAGCTGCAATGCACTGTGGCATTGTCAGTTTAACTATAGCTCTGGTGAATTTCAATGGTGAAGTCCTCTGGAAAATCTTCAATAATTGTTGTTGATTGCAGATGTGTCTAGTAGTTCCCATTGATTCTGCTTGTAAAGCGGGGAGAATGGCGCTAGGCTTACTGCACCATGATGTCACTGCTGGAAGATGACAGAAGGGAGCTGCTGTTGCTATATTTGGGCAAAAATGGCCGCTCCCAGACTCAGTGATTGTGATGATTTTATTTTTTTATTGATTAAGGCTAAATTCATTAAATCACCGCGAATGTATTAGTTTTAAGTATAAAAAATGATTCAATGATTATTCCTTGTTGACCTAAAAAGGTAAAAATTGTTTAATATAGTATAAATCTTTTATGGATTTCGTTTGACAGCAGCAGAAATATGATCTAAGAGGCGACAATGGTGTCTAAAACAGGAACATGCAAGGATCCATCTTTAAATGTCGTCGTTTGCTGGATAAGACAGTTCTGATGGTGTCAGAGGGCGTCTGTGTACGGCAGCCTGCAGCGCAGCTCATTACATTACATTTGGAACCTCATATGAGCTAAGCTAACGTTAGCTCCACTGTTTATACAGAGGAAAATTAAGCTTAAATAAAATCTGTTTGGACATGAAGCCAGAATTCAACTCTTTCAGAGAACAGCGATCAGCTTCAAGATGCTTTGCTAACGTTAGCAGACACAACCAGGAAAACAACTACTTTAAGAGGTGGGATTTCCTGTGAAGTAGCCAATCACAGGCAGATTACTTTCCCAGGTTGGTTATTTCCTCAAAGTGACAAAAGTTGACATGAAGACAGGAACAGGTCCACATGTGAGGAGGACAGAAGCCACAGATGAGAGTTTGGAGGCATGGCTGGGATAAATGTGCATGAACAAAACATTAAAACTGCTGAGGAGCGTATTTTACATATTTCTGCAGTAAACAAAACTGCTTGTTTGAGTATTTATAATGTTAACTACCCTCAGCCTCATCCTCACAAAGGTTATGGAAAGTTTCCATCATTTGATTTCATGCTCCCTCTCTGTTGACCTTAACTCTATTATTTGACTTTATCAGCAGAGGAAACTGCTCCATGACAATGGCGCTACTGCTTTAGCTCTCCAAGTCATTTACATAGCCAGATAGAAGCTTTATTGATCCCTTATGTCAGTGGTTCCCAAAGATTTTCTTCTGGGCACACTTTGGGAACCACTGCCTTATGTTATGTTCAGACCATATGTAGCAGGAGCAGCTAGTTTACATGCAAAGTCAAGTTTACAAGTTTACATGCGCATCAAGGCGCAGCTAAAGGTCCTGCAGCGCGTCTGAGCATCTGATGTGCACACGCAGCGGGAGTTGGAAAAATTTAACTTTTGCTGCTCGACGCGCCACATCAACCAATCAGAACTATTCACGCTTTTAGGATGGTAAACATACACTGTCAATCTGCTGCTAATTTCACGCTGCTTAATAAATGTGTTTATTCAGAGGACGTATGCAGGAAGAAGGGGAAAGGATAGGGTAGCTCCTCCCAACGCGCATCAGACCATCTTTTCGAAGATGCAGCTAGAGCAAAGAAAATGCTTCAGCTGCGGATCAGAACTGAACCTGTACAAGCGTCAGAAATGAAGCAGGACACACGTATTTGCCGCTACTGCTGTGTGTTCTGAACGTAGCATAAGGGAAAATTAAAATTCCAGCAGCATTAAGAATACAAATCAAATTAGAAAAAATACACTAAAATGAGGTGAGGTGGTAGTATCTGTAAATCAGTTAACATCCCTCCTACTAGCTGCAATCACTTTCCTTTGATTTGTGCCTTTTTATTATTAAAACAAGCAGAAAAATTAACATTTGGCTTTAGGGGTGTAGGGAAAAAAATCGATTTGGTGATATATCGTGATTTTCTGCTGCCCAATATAATATTGATCCTTCAGTTCCTAATAACGATTTTCCAAAAAAACTTTTTACCCTAAAGCAATGAGGGAAAATGGGCTACCTCTGCAGCGCCACTCTGGTAGATGGCGCTGTGGAGCCTTTTTGCTGTGCAGCGCAGCACCGTATCTGTAGTTGAGGCAGTGTGGAAAATGTGGACTGACTCAACCCTCAAACAAGATGGATTCTGGCGCACATATACAGTACTTACTTTTTTAAGCTCTACATTTCATTTTGATAGCTGGGTAAAACATTGCAGTATAAAGTGATACTGAAATATTGTGATAACGTTGTATTGTGAAACGTATCGTATCGAACACACATGCCAATACCCACCTACATTTGACTTTCAGAAGCTTTATTCCATTTTTTCATTAGGCATTGTATTAAAATGTTAAAACGCAGTGAAAGCAACAACTAAAACTAAAGACCTGTTTTTAACTCAGAATCAAAACTGTGGCCTTTAGATTGTATAAAAAAATAGAACCATATTTGTGCCTCAGAACTTTAATCCCAAGATAAGTTAAAACCCTTAAAACATCTATGATGATACATTTTTACCCCCTGAATAGAATAGTCATAGAAAGTGTTTAAAGAACTTAAAAACAAGCTTTGAGGAAAAACACTGTTACCTTCAGGTCCCTGTAGACAACGAAGCGGTTGTGCATATGTTCCAGACCCAGGATGATTTCAGCGGCGTAGAAGCGCATCTCTTTCTCGCTAAAGACGCCATGCTGAGAGAGGTGGTAGTGCAAGTCCCCCCCTGAAACGCAGACAGAAAGACAAAACAACGTGGGGTGTTTAGGGCAGGATGGTATCATCAAAACATTTGTAACAATAAATTTCCTCATTTCAGATGTGATATTATTTTAATATCGAACTAAATAAAAGCCCAAAACAGACATTTAGAAAGCTGCTCCAATCTAACATTAAAAATATTGGCTTCAGTCTCAGCTGGCCAATAGAGGGCGCTAGGGTTCCGCTCCACCCACCCAATGACCCTGATTAAGACATACAAATATATATTTTATAATAATTTAATTTTAAATTAAAATGAAAAATATATTGAAATGTATTAATATATATATATTTTAGATGTTTAAGATAAATATTTAATCTTTAATGACTAGTAAAGCGTCATTCCATTTTTCGTCAGATTGGTGACGTATTTCCGCCCTAGGGCGCTAAAATCTTCACCCATCGACTCTCGTTAAAGGTTGTCCATGTGCAGCAGCTCCTCTGCAATACAGAAGTATAGGAGAGCTCAGGGTGCAGCTAAGCTGGACCTGATGTGACAGCAAGTTTATTTGCTCACCGCCTCCCGCCACAGTGCAGACGTTTTGCAGGTGATTGACAGGTAAAGTTGTGGGAGTTGGAGACGCATCGGAGTGAAATGGCGCGAGAAACGTCCTTTTCCAGGACCTGGTTAAGCTACGAGGCTTGGCTAACAGCATGTAGCGAGGCTAAAGCTTTATTCTGCTTTTCCTGCCTCTTTTTTAAATGCCAGGATCTGACTCAGCATGGATAAAGACAGATACGACTGATTTAAAGCATTTTTTAGAAAATGAGCATAGTTGCTTATAAATACATTCTCAGGAAATAGTTTTTATACGTTAAAAGATATAATATAATAGCTTCTCCATTATTAAACTGGTACATTATTTTTTTTAGGTTTGTGACACGATATTGCACCAATTCTGACTTTAATCTCAGAATTCTGAAAAGTCAAAATTTGGACTTTCCCCCCATATTAAACTGAAATATTTAAAAATTAGTTAATTTTTTTTTTTTCCCAGCGGCCCTAATCCTCTTCCGTAGGAACACATTCAATGCCAGTCTGAATTTGCTTCTTTTTTATGTTTTTAACAAACTGTGTCATCATGTTAAGTTTTGAAATCCTTTATTAACCAATCAGTTCACTTTCCCACTTTCATTGTATTCAGCCTAGGTTTTGGCAATAAACCGGATTTTTACTGTTACCTTCATTCACTACGACAACCTGCGCAAATTTTCCCATGTCGGTAAAGAAATCGGTAAAAAATTCTGCCATTTTCCTGTGTGCGCTAGGCTGGTATTTCCTTCGCCTTTAAGACACGGCAGCATGTAGGGGATCACGTGACTCCACCGATCCAATCAGAAGCATAAGCTAATAGAGAGGCAGATGAAATGAGCCCAGGGAAAGGGCTGTTGAACACAACTGTAAACTAAATGACATCAGTTCATCCTGTGGAGCCGAGCGAGAGCAGACGTGAAGCTGAGCGTGCAGAGAAGTAGTCAAGAGCGCGTTGGCAGAGCTGAGCGCTCAGCAGACCGGCTTTAAGCGAGAGTGTGCGAGTTTAAACGATGCAAATTGTTCTCAGTGCACGTTCAGTTCGATGGTTTAAAAATTACGCCATAGATGTTGAGCAAAAGAAAACGAAATGAAAAGTTTGTCTGAAAATTGTCGGGGAATACCCAAAGTGACACATCTAACCTCCGCCATCTACAGCACAACCACACTGTTAAAGGCTCCATTACCTTTACGCAAAAATGTTTGAAAGAGAGAAAACATTTTTCTCCTGTTCAATGAGACAATGTTGAATGTTTAAACCTAAATGGGTAGAAGACTTTAATATTCAATTAAAAGCAAATATAAATAGATTAGTAGCACTTCCTGCAAATGCCTTTATTTCTGATAGAGGAGCCGGAGCATTTATCGCTGGAAATAAAACTACCAAATTTATTGTGATAGTGATTTGAGGTCATATAATTCAGCCTACCGTTCATTAGGTCCAGGATGAAGCAGAGCTTGTCGGGAGTGTGAAAGGCATAGGTCATACAGACGATGAAGGGGCAGTCCTAGAAGGAAGAGGAGCAGAAGATCATCATCATCATCATCATCATCATCATCATCATCAATGAAAAGAAAAACAAAAAGCTCTGAAATTATCGAAGTGGATTAGTGGTCAGGTTGAAAAAAGGACAATAAATATCCTTCCCCTGAACGAGTTTGTTGAATATTCTTTGTTTTCAGGTCACTTTAGAGTTGTTTTGAGGAGCCCATGATGAATCTTCAGAGGAGATTCAAACAGGAGTAGATCTTGCAACCGGCCACCTTAAATACTTTTTCTCATGATTGGATACATCTGGCTATGGAGTTCAAATCTTAATGCAGTTACCAAACCAATGTTGTGTTTCAGTAAGTCAGTGAAAAGTAGTTAAGGGTATTCAAATCAATAAAATAATTAGGGTATCCAAACTTTGCACCTGTCATGTTTTTTTTTTTTTATGCATATTGCAGATTTCTGTTAGTCCAATAAACCTAAATTCAATACTGAATTGTTACCGTTTCCATCAGTTATTATATATATTAAACTCAAATAGCTGTTGCAAACACCCAAATATTTAGAAATAAACATAATTAAGATTAATAGCGGTGCCCAAACTTTTTCATCTGACTGCATATAATCCACACAGACCAGGACTTCAGCTGCTGTCAGTCTGGGTCGCTGCTGCTGCTACTTTTAGACACAGCAGGCAAACCTGTGGCAAGCCGGGCGATGGGAAAGAAGGAGAAGATGATGAGGAAAAGAAAGCAGAAAAAGTGTGGACTGCTGGAAGAACTGTGGTGAACTGGTGAAAGAAAAGTGAAATGGTGCTCAAAGATGACCCTGAACATTTAGAGGATGTTTGGCTCAACCTGCTGCTGTGAAGCAGGATTCTCCACCATGAACAGAATCAAAAATAAATATGGATCCAGGCTCAAAATGAGCTCCTTGATATGTGCTTTAGAGTGGCTTAGTCTCCATTCAAACCAGGTTTAAAGCCTTGCAGGGCAGCATAAAGCCCACTGCCAACATTAAGGCAGAAACAAGAAAGAAAACAGTCAGTTCAGGTGTTTTATAGAATGTGTGAATCAGGAAATTGCCTATATACTAAACTGAACGATTGTTGTTCTCCATTTAAAAATACTTTAGATTAGGGATGCACGATATAATCGGCCCCCTATCGGTATCGGCCTTAAAACTGAATATCGGACATCGGCCACCCCACTGATATTTAACCCGATATTTGATCAGCTTCTGAGTTTCTAAAGTCTAAAAAAAAAAAAAAAATACTACTTCTTCTTCTTCCTCAAAAACGTCTTTTTTACAGACTTAAAAACTTCTAAAGACGAGGGAAAAAATATTGATACATTAAAATATCCCAATATCTTCATATGCTGATATATTGCCATTTAAAAACACCATATCAATCTCTTTTACAAATGAAATATTGCTATATGTCATCGTTATGCTACTAAATCCCTCGAAAATTCACGGAATTTTGCCATATTTTTATATGTTGATATATTGACGCGGTATCGATCTATTTTACTAATAAAATCTCACAAGAATTTGCAAAATATCACGAGAGTTTGTAACAGAACGATGAAATTTCACGAGATTTTGAAAGTAAAATAGATCGATGCCGCGTTTTTAAAAATCAATTTGATATCAGCATATGAAAATATGCTGATAGCAGAAATGGATAACAAAACTGCTATTTTCAATGACTACTTATTTTTGTCCAGCTTTAACCTTGGTATCGGTATCGGTTATCGGCTACATGAGTTTTAAAATATCGGCATATCGGATATCGGCCAAAATCCCAATATCGTGCATCCCTACTTTAGATTATAAAATAGAAAAACTGTTTTTTTAATGTTTTTTTTATTTAAAAAACATTAATGCATAAACACCTCATTTTATTTTAGAATTAAATTCTGTTTAAAGTAACGGATTATAATTAAAAATGTCTCCCGACCTTTACTGGTTGATGCTTTTCTTAATTCCAACCCCGCTGATTTTTAATTGGCTACCCCTGTTTTACATCAACCAGCACTCGGCGTTTCCCAGTTACAGCCACTCACCGTTTTCACTAACATGTTTTAGTCGTTGGGACATAACATTTGAACAGATTAAAGCTGCTGAAGGTTTATAAAATTTGATTCAACTAGATTTAAAACCTTCTGCTATTGCATATCAAAGTGTTGCAGAGATTTTCTGATGTCTCCTTAAACGTTTTCTGACTCTTTGAACGTAACGCTGGTTAGACGGACCAGTGAGCAAACGCTTATCACAGGCGGCGCAGTAGTTGCACATTTCAACTGGTTTATTATTTCAGATGGGATTTAAGGAAACTATAATTAAATTTGTTTTTTTTTGGAGTCATCCCTCCAGAGTGTGTGGCGCAGGACGCCAGCGCTGGCCTTTCCTCACTGGTCTAGTCAAAGAAAACATTGGTTTCTTACTTTCTAAAACAGTTCTGTGTAACCCATCAACATGAAGAGAAAAATAAAGAGAAGTTTCTACTCTAAGCATGAAAAATTGCTAACATTAAGCGAGTTCACACCCACTTACTTAGAGCTGATCATCTAACCCAAGATGGAGGTTATAAGAGGTAACGTTGGTGCTGCAGAACCCTCCCCTTTAAAACCGCTGCTCATATTAGGGACGTGTGATGCAGGCTTGTTTTCAGCAGTTAGAACCACATCCACGCTCTAAGTTTGCTACTTATGTGCAAGCTAAAACAGAAGAGCGCTTCTAAAAATGGAGTCAAAGATTACATGTTTATAAACCGCAGTAGTCAGTCTAACGAGCAGTACAGGAGGAGGTCAGCATCAGAGGTCAGAGACGGAAGCATTAGAACCTCAGAGTCGAGGTATAACTCGAGCCGGATGATGAACTCACCCCGGTGCTGACTAACGACAGCATGATTCTCTCATTGAGCGCCAGAGTCTCGCCCTGCTTCATTTTGATCCGCTTCTTGTCCAAGCACTTCATGGCATACCTGAAGTCAACATTAGAAACGTTAGAGCGGAGACAACCCCCTCAAAAAGATGGCTGCCTCGCTTAGGGTTTGGCTTACATTTTCCCGGTGTCGGCCTTCCTGCAGCCGTACACCTCCCCGAAGCCTCCCCTGCCGATGATTCGATGCACGCTGAAGTCATTCATGGTCAGCTGAGGGGAAACAGAGGAGAGGGTCTTTAATGGAACAGAACATCCCTTCCTTTTAGAACCGGCATTCGCTTTACTGGTCGCTGCTACAAACATTGACTCATTATGTAGAAATAAAAACAATTTGTGTCGTTTGCTTAATGTTTTCAGCAGAAGAGTTTAAACAATGAGGAAGAATTAGACCTGCATGAAGACAAAGGTAAATAAAATGTTTGGATCATCACAGAATTGCATGTTTCTAAGCAAAAACAAGGCGTTATTTTGGTCCACTCTGTAAAGCCTAGAACTCAACGCTATTTCTGACATTTTGAACTGATAAAGCTTCCTGGATGGGAAGAGAAACATCTTCAAACTTGGAAACAAAGTCCAGTGGATTGTTTTTGAACCTTTTTGGACTGACTATGACCTGACTGATCTTCAGCAGCTTACAGGAAGCATCGGGGCATGGAAATAGTTTGCATTGTAACTTTCCTATATGACCCTTCAAACAGGACTTTATGAGGCTACGGAGGTTAGTGGGCAGCTTATAATCTGCTTCTGTTTGGGGTATCCTGAATTAAAATGTCACAATAAACAGTTTTCCTTTCCTTTTATTCATTCGTTTCACACACAGCAAATGGCTTCTGTTTTGCTCTTAACCCATTTAGGCCGGGAAAGCATTAATGCATTTCTACCATTGAAGCCGGGGGCGCTGT